CCCCCCCTCCCCGGTTAGGGGCTGGCAGACCGAACCAAATGGGAGCGATAAATTAGACTCTCACTTAGCCCCATTTCCGCCAAATGTGTTGCAGACAAACCAGCATCCGTGCGAAAATTACGACCCATGAGTCTGCATATGCAGTTTACACAAACGAACTCATAAAAAGAGACCAGGCATCTAGACAGTGCATGAGGTAGTCCATTTTCTCTCGCTCCATCTCAGAAGTTGCTGCAAACTAAAAAATGTCATCTACACATTTTATCTATTCTGTGAACCTCATCTCCCTTGTCCACCTAGCCCACTTTTGCTAAGCAGTTCTTACCGGTGTCGTTTTATACTCCGATACACCAAGTCGTGTTCCATTGGGCTGGGCAATCGTGACGTACCACGATTTTTACTATGTTTTCCAACAGCTTCCTGATCTCACAGTCTCGGAGGGTGAGCTTCTGAGCATAAAATCACACTTGACTGTATTATAATCCCGATACGCGCCAAAAACCTTGTTGAGTGTGCACTGTTAAGCTAAATTGTCGAGTTTTTTTTCAAAATTTTAATCACTCTACCGTTTGGACAATTTATTTACTTTCACTAAGAAATGTAAAATGGGAAGATTAGGGCTAAACTATCTACCCGAAAGCACGGCCTGCAAACAAGCATATAAACCGTGGTGCAGGATCGGTGGAATGCCTGGCTGGGGCTTTGGCTGGCACCTGTACAGGCAGAACAATAATCCATTCTAACACCTGCTCATGTTTCCTGGTCAGAATTCTCTCATCTTATAGTTGGCATTTTAATTAAGTGTTAATATATGTTTCACGGCTGCAAATCTGCTTCTAAGTGGCTTCGTTGAACGCTTTAACTTTGGCGGGAACGAACGAGGTAAATAATTGCTTTCCCCTAGGGAAAGTATTTCCCAGTAACGCCTATTAAACGTACATTTATTGATCATAGCCTCAGATCCTCAACAAAGACGGCGTACATAGGTAGGCGTTCCCTGGGATTCTACGTCCTGCTCATCCCCGGCAGGAATTTAGACAAATAACATTGTCGGTAAAGAAGTGGGAGACTGAAATAGGCATTTCTGGCTCATTAGCCGTCATCAGCCATTCATACTCACCGCCCGAGAATCGAACCCGCGACCTACTAATCAGAAGTCTAATGCCCTAACCATTCAAACACGAGCTCGTTGTCCTGCCGGTTTAGGTCGGGAGATATTGACACTCGTTGATGAACGTTCACCTGACGGATAAGGGAACTCACTTGTCCCGCTCTGCCTTGGGTCTCATTGCTCCGACTGTGACAGCAGCCCTACAGCCGCTGATAGTTTGCGCAGTAAGTTACTTCATCGACTGGCAGTAATGCTAAGCAATAAGCCCTAGGGGACGTACACAAACATCAACCAACCTCTCGTCCAAATGCACAGAAATAATCGAAAAGCAGTAGAACCTGCACTTTTATCATAAAAAATGTCTTTATCGAAGCCTCTGTGGATCGCCAAGCGTGTACTCCCCTCAAACCTTTGCCAGCAACCGGCCTGTTTATTCTCCTTCAATGACGCGCATGTCGATTTTGAAGCAAACGTTAAACAGATGGCAGAAAAATGACCTTAACTGATTACATGTATATTTTACTCTTCTTATCAACACAAACTGCCTTGAGGAAGCCGTACTCCTATCCTTCAACCTCAATTAGCAAAAAAATCACCTGTGGAAAGAAATAGCTAGCGCCTCTGGTATGCAAGTGTCTCAAACCTACATGCTGCCCTTACTGTGCCTCCTATAAATAGTGGAAATTCATGCAACCGGTAGATATTCTTTGTTCTTTCGAATTCTATCCAAAAACCGACATGACCACATTTTTAGC